TGCCTTTGCTGAAACATTTGCCTTTCAATCTTCTGGGCATCTTGAGAAGGACAGCTCGCCTTTCCTCTGAAACAATGTGACTAATGCTTTCTTGGCTTTGCTGACCCCTTCTCAGTTTATCTTGACTAAATGGACTTATATAGTATTGGTTCCTTGCATATTTTCCAAAGGTTCTTGTAAGTGTAAATCTTGCCACAATGCCCCAGCCAAATATCATTCATCTGGAATGACAGCCACACGTTTGCTCTGGCTGTCATTCTGTCATTCGAGTCAGCAGCTGCTGTTGCACTTAAAGGCCACCAGCAACAAGCTGCTACTCCAGCTGCTGAGGAGGTAGCCAAGCCTTGCTCACTCTTCCTCTCTGTGTCCTTCTCCCAGCTCCTTTGCTCCTGTTTTGCATTTCCGTGTAGCAGTATAGCAAGACATGTGGTGGAGCTGCTGTTGCCAGCCCCATGTTTTGTTCCTCGTTCTGTCTCTGACTTGGAACATGATCTCTCTGCCTCAGTTTTTACAGAGCATTTTACAACATCCTTTGAGATCTACAGATGCAACGGATTATTCAGATACAACCTAGAAATTCTATGTTTTCAATTAAGATATAAATGACAGACATGCATTCTAATATTATTTCTGGAAACACTTATAAAATATCTCTGGAATGTAATTTGTGACCCTGTGAAAACTGACACTTGGTTTTAAAAGCAGCTTTTGCTTTTGTCTCTTTAAGTGAAACCCTTTGTGTTGATGCATAGTTATTTAGGGAAATAAATGCAACTTTGTACGAACTAAGCTGATGGAGCTTTAACTTGAAGGGAAAGAATTATAGCACGTTGGGAATTTTGGTAGGAGCAGAGATACAAAGAAGTTGCCACATTTGCTCAAAGTGTGGTTCTAAGTCTGGTTTGCCAAAAGACAAAAGGGTAGGATTGGATGGTTACTTTATGAATGTGGATGTAACAGAGAGAGCTCATTGGTTTCGTAGGTCTGTGTTAGATTCCCACAGCCCTGAACAAACAGCTCTCAGCCTTATATTTTCTAAGCTTTTGTCTTCCCACTTTGGAATTCTGACTACGGGCACATTACCAAGCCAACTGGATTCACTACAAAGCTCCAGTGTAGCTCTTTTTATCACAAAGATCAAGACAACAATTGTGTGCCTACAAGAAAAGAACAACTAAAACCATCGAGCAAACATTAAAAGAACAATTCTAGAGATAGTTGCCTTTGAACTGCAATAATGGGCAACATTCAGTCCTGAGATTTGAATTCAGAGTTAAAGGAATTCATTACTAACTGCCTTTCCTTGTAATTATCCAAGCTGCTGGCAACATATATTTTCAGCAGCATTAATTTTGCGCAACGTAATATTTTGTAGTTGTGCTGAACTCCACACAAAGGCAGCATTGTAAATCTGCTTTATGGAGTTAGTTTTGTTTATTATAGAGTTCGTATATGAAAAAGGAAGAAATCTAAATTTTGTGTTGGCTTGTCCCCAAACCACAGAAAATGGAGTATTGTTTTACAAGAGCTTGTTCTGAAATATCACTTCCTGACTGTAAAAGAAGCACGGTGTATTTGCAGATGCATTCCACAAGCATGCTGAATGTCCAGCTGCAAAAATATAGTAGGAGCTGATTTTTTTTTTTTCGTTCTTTCCAGAATAGCCAGTCCACACTTTTTGGAGAGCTGAGGAATGTGGGGAGATAACAACAATTTTAAAATATATACTTCATTTTGCAATGCCCCAAAAGTAACTTGAGTCAAAATCTGCCAGACACCAGTAATTCAGAATAAATTCCGCCTGAGGATCCTTGACCACTGTTATTTGAGTCCAAAAGCCTAAACCATAGAAATAGTTTCAATAAATCCTTCTGCATTTGTTTATTATTCTTCCCCCACCTCTACCCTGCCTTTTTAGTAGATTAGCTTTGGAGTCACTCTTAATCAGATGCCTGAACCTTTATTTTTTTCTTTGAAGAGTGTTACAATGATTTTAAAAGTTCTTCCCAGACATTTTGATCTTAATATTACAGAGTATGAAGTGACCTGGAAACTGAATTTTAAATTGGTAATTTTGGCCATTGCATGAAAAGATTATGAAGTACGTATGTGGTATGCAATTTAAGCAAATTGAATGTCATTTGTGACCCATAACCAATGAAGAGGACAAAATATTTCAGATTTATCTATTGAAATATGGACAGATTTGCAGTCTCTCTTTGGCATCTTCACCTTCTCTGGTCTCAAGAGGGATGCAGAGATGCAATGGCAGCAACTTCTATGGTTCTGTGGAGAAACAATTAGCTGAGTGACCATTCCCACACCTAATATGTGTCAGACCACTTGGTTTCTCATTCTCACAGTTAAAAGGTCACAAGAATTCAGAATGACTATACATAAAGAGCTTTCTTTACTGACTGACTTCAGGAAGTTGGTACAAACTTCGTGAAAGTTCTATCTGATTAATCTAGGAAGCTGAGGAAGAAATCACTTCCTTTATATCACTTTTGGCACCACATCAATCTAATATAAGGGAGTCCTTTAAGAACTGAATAAAAGAAGCATTAGAGTCCTGGAAAGCTGAGGTAGAGGAGGACAAATTTTATATTTCACAATACTGGGTGTCTTAGATTGTGCTGTTCAGTGTGACTCAAGTGAAATTTGGGTTGTACTTTGCAGGTCGCATTACATTATATAAAACCTCCTCCTTGGAAAGCATTTATCTTTTTTTAAAATTTATTTTTTAATTGTATTAACTTGTACATGTTTACAAAAAAAAAGAACACAAGTAGTATCTAGAAAATATGAACTACAAATAAATTGTTCATAAGTTTCAAGTGGGAAACTTGGGAGTGGATATCCTCATTTTCTCAATTCTTCTCTGGCCAGGCCTCATAAATCATGCTACTGTGTTCAGGCATCAACAGAAACAGACTTTCTTTTGAATTGATGCTGCAATTGGTCTAGCTTGGTGATGTCCTCTCACTTTGGCACAGCTCACATTAACATTGCCAAAAGCCGTAATACTTTAATTAATACCAGGGAAGGGTCTGTCCTGATACTGCAAAGGCTCTCTGGTGCACTCTTTTAGCAAGGACTATTCTTCTCTACTTCTGCTAAACTGTTCTCTTTCATAATTGGAATTCTTTACCAGTACAGTCCAAAAAACGCTTTTCCTCATGTTACAGACCTCTGAGACCTGATTTGCTAGTGTTTATAAAATTCTGAGAAAAGCTAAAATTAAAAAACTGTTACAATAAACTGAATGTTTATTTTTCCAAAATGCTGTTTTAAGTTCTACAAATCCCATGCATCAACAAACAATTGGGAAAAAAGACAAATTAGTGCTTTTCAGAAAGTTGGCATACTGGCCACGAGGTCATACTTAGAATTCAGTTATAGCTTGTCATATTTTTGCATTACCTGAAACATCTGCATCACAAGTTTGTGTTTTATTTCAATTTTTATCTGAAGATAAGGTTTCCTAAAAACTATGCCACCTAAGAACTAAACTTTGGGATTCCCCTTTAGCTGGAACTTTAGTTCCACCTTGATATGTACCTCCCCATGATGATGGGGTACCTAGCTTCTTGGAAAACAGTACTGAGACTCTCCTCTGTTTTTAAAATTATTTCCATTGGTAAATAATTTTACCAATTTACCAATACCACAAGTCCAGCTATTTTAGTAAATATTTTGAGTATTTTTTAATGGAACAGTAAAGCAAGTACATTAAATGTCCATCAAGTGCAATTCAGTAAAGGCAAACAAAATTAAATAAGGTAAAAAGAAAAGAAGTGGTGAAAACACATTATATCACTATTATTTGATTTTTAGTATATATGTCAAGTTTCTTGTTTTAAATTATCTGATGTTAATAGGAAGTTACTAATTTTGGCATGCTTACAAAAGCATCTTAGTAATAGGCTAGAAAGAAATTAAATATTATTCATGTATGTATTTGTGAGAGGGAAAAATTCTACTGTAGCTTAAATATGCAGCTGTAAGAGGGGGAATTACCATCAGAAAATGATCATATAATCATGCATTATTTATATAGTTATGAGACACATTTGGTATCCAAGATTTACAGTATTATTGTATTATTTACCTTAAACTGCAAGTCTTCAGCTTATTAAACATAAAAGTATTGACAGTCATTTAAAAAGAATATTATCTTAAAAATATATATTTCTAGAATAGCTTTCAAAGTTTTCAGAACCCAAAAGGCAGGTATAATTCCCTCAATGTTAATTGCTGTTTTACTAAATTAACTGTTCTCATTGGTTTTAAAGCCTCCAATCAGAAATGTCTTTAAATTAGTACCCAACCTCCATTTTAAAAGTACGAAGGGAAAAAAAGGAATAGTTGTCTAAATTTTTCAATCTATTTTGGAGCTCTACTGTACTGAAATTGTTAATGAAACTGTGACTGCTAAAATCTTACTAATTAGTTTAATTTCCTCTTCATTTTTGTTTTGTGTTTATCAAAGTGCTGCTAGTACTGGACATTATTAAATATGGGTTAAAGTTTAGACTTACACAATTCTAATTGGACAGAATTTACACCAGATTAGTCAATGAGAAACAACACCTGTATACCAAGCTCTTAACTTTTAGTTTAGAAAGAAAAAAAAATAAGACTAAAATGTGTAGAAAGTGTAGAATGCTTTCAGATCATTGTTTTGTGCTTTTATGCCTCGAAAGCATTTTATATCTATATATATTGCTGATCTGGAAATCTGAAATTTAATTACATCAGGACTTCATTGGGATTTGTTTAAATAAGAGGATATCCCTCAACACAGTTTCTGACAAGTGATAATCAGTTTGAAATGGAGGTGCTAGAAGATTTTTTTTGCCATGTATGGGAAGAAACTAGATCTAACCCAACTGTCTGCCATTTAACCCATTTGTGTCTTTGGGTGTTTTCTTAATCATATGTGTGAAATTTCTATTTAAAAGCTGATGTGGAAATGGGTGTAATATTTTTCTTTTTAGAATGCAGGATACGAGCCCTGAGAAGTCTCCGTCTCAGTGCTAAGAGAGGACTGAAGAATCTGCACAGAGACAGATGAGGAGGAGACCTTTTTAATAACATTTCCTTCATCACCAGCCAAAGCAGCAGTAATAGAAGAAGAGACCTACTGCAAAAACTTCTTCAGCTCCAAATGTGAGGTCCAGGAACGAGAAGTGGCAAGTGTCATGTAGTCCCGTCCATCCACTTTCCATCCTGGATGAGCTGCACTGCCTGTAGTCGGGTTGGAAACGAGAGTCAGTCCCTGTGAGATGCACAGGTACCACCTGCCAAATAATCAGTGTGTGCTCATGTGAGATGGTTGAAGCTTTCTTTCTACTTTCCATTAAAAAGAGTCTTTCTGTTCATGAGTTTGTGCAAAATGGGGGGTGAGTAGATCATGTTTAGGAGGTGACTACCAAAGACCATTATGGAACATTCACTGCCTGTGCATATATCTCCTGTTACTGGGAAATCTGCAGCACGTGGTGCTTTCTGGGATGCTTCAGGATAGCTGCCAGCAGGTCAAGGTAGGTGATCCTTGTCCCCTGCTCAGTATTACAGAGAAACACCCGAAGTGCTGGGTCCAGTCTGGGCTTCCCAGCACGAGACACGTGGACAGACTGGAGTCAGTCCAGCAAAGGATGGCAAGAGGGCTAGAAGTATACAACATGTGAGGAGTGGCCAAAACAGCTGGGAGTGGTCAGCCTGCAAGAGAAAAGACTGGGGGGAATCTCATCCATGTCAACAAACACCAGGGAGCAGGGGGAGCTTATGAAAGCAGAGCAATGGTGCCCAGTGACTGGACCAAAGATATAGAGCACAAACTGAAACTCATAAATTCCAATCAAATTGCTTGTTTTGTTGTTTTTCCTAATGTGAGAATGATCAAACAGCACAAGAGGTTGCCTGGAGTGGTTGCAAAGCCTCCATCTTTGGAGATAACCAAAGCCCTGAGCAACCTGATCTATCTGATCCTGGTTTGAGCAGATGGTTTCAACTGGGTGATATCCAGAGGTCCCTTCCAGACTCAAACCTTCTATAAAACTGTGACTTGCCAAGAATTATTACACGGTGACACAATATGCTGGGCGAATTTTTTTTTTTTTTAATATCTAATAATAATATGAAATGTACTTGTTTTGTCATTAAACTCAGAAGTATACAAATCTTCATCTTGGCCCTTTTCTGAGCAATATTCTCACTAGACTTAATGTCTTCTACTTAATTTCAGGTTCTTTTTGTTTTGTTCCTGTATTTATTATAGGTGAAAGACTTGGTTCAAGCAGCTGACCTTTCTCCTTTCCAGGAAAGTGTCAGTCGCAACTGAAAGCAAAATAGAACAAACTTTTTCTTCCATGTTTTTAATCCCTGTGTGGGTCTACCATTGTTAAGAAATAGCATGACATGGCTTTGAGGTATGAGATGCAAAGGAGAAATACTAGACTGCCTGCACTATGTGAACAAAATTGTGGCTAAGTGCAGACTAACCACAGGAGCAGGAGGTGGTGCCTTGGGGAGAACAAAAGTCTGCCTTGCTCCCCTCCCAGCTTGTAAACCAATGCATGGCAAAGGAACTCTGATATTCAAAACCAGCACAGATCATCATGGAATGAGCTAGTTTTACCTAAAGCTTGTTGCATCACTTGGAGCTCAGCCTCCCTGCTCTGCATGCTCAGTGCTAGTTGCCAACATCTCCTTTCTAAACACCAGTACCAGTGCTCAAAGACAGTTATTTTTGGAATGTCAGTGTGTATGTACACTGTCTGTAAAAATTTATCAAAACTACATGTAGTGAAGTGACACTGTTAATTAGCATAACGTTTTGCTTTACTGTGTGGACCCAGAGAAAGTATCTCACTAATGGTTTGCTTTTTTCCTTTGTTTTTTCCCATTTTTTCCCCTCAAAAGTCATCACTCCCAGAAATAATTAGCAGCAGTGTGGTAATCAGGGGGATGTGGTATTTTAGGGGCATTTCAAGCAGACTGTCACTGAGCTGGAGCCCTGTGAGGAACTTTTGGATGACCAGAGCAGGCAAGGGGGCAGCTCTAGGGATACCTCCAAAGCTCTCACCCTACCAATATTATGTTCCAATTCTGTGGTTTCAAAATCCTGAGACTGATGAATAAGAAGCTTTTTTGAAGGTAGAAGGAAAAAAATCAAACATTTGTTCAGCACCTTAAACACATAAACCTTCTTTTCCTGTACTAATGATATCCCATAATAAAGCACATCAGATAGAAAAGGTGCAGTGTCATGATTTCAAGCAGAGCCATAAACACAGAAAGTTTATAAATTCTTTTTTTACCAACCATTTTTTCATTATTCTTTTTTTAAGAAGAGGTTTCCTGTTCACTTCAGGAAAAAAGTTTACTTCAGTAATTCTCATGGCCACTGCCCAGCTCTTTGCTTTCAATTAACATTCCTGAAAATGAAACAAACAAAAAAAGTCACTTGTATAAATGTTTATGGAAAACAAATAAAACCATCAAAGTAGATACATTATTTTTATTCCAGCATATGTTTATGAATACTTTCTTGATGTATTCTGCCAGCTCTAACCTTGAATTTGGACTTTAAAAGGCATTTCCAAAATTCTTTTCCACCTCCCTCTGAACCACCATGTTTATTCACTCACATTGGTTTGTGTTTTCCATATGTTATCTCTAAAAAACAGGATTCCACAAAACCATGAATGCAGTAAATCTTCAGGCAAAGAAGTATTTGACATGTTTTCCTTATTAAATTCTTGTGATGTTCTTCAGATATATAAAACCTAAGCCCAAAAAGCACTGACCAAAACTGTGCAATTACTGGATTGCCAGTTACATAAAACAGTCTGCCACCATTTTAATGGTTACCAAGATGCTTGCTGAGTACAGGGTCTTAATGTTTACACTGATCTGCCTGGGATTCGTGCTGATTTTGAGAGACAGATCCTGGCTCCTGACCACATTAGTGCAGTGTGGTATCTTTTCCTTTTCACAAGAAAAACTAACTATGTACAGCATTAATAATTTATACTCAGGAAGTAGCAAGGGTGATAAAGCTCTGACTGTCAGGCTTCCACAACTGCACAAGTGTCTTTGCATGTGCCTTGCTTCTGAAAGAAAACCCTTGGCAGGAACATAGAGGCTGGGTGTTAGTATACAAGCACAGGCAGTGAGCCACTTATATTTACATTACAAATCCTGCATTACATGTGCTTGAAAGATGACTGCCTCTCTAAATTGTGTTCATATACTCTTATTTATACCATCCTATAAAGCCAGATTTGAGTATTTTTCTGAATCTTGAAGGTTCTTTTACTTGGCTGATACTTGGCTTGTTTACTTCGAGAATGTAAAAAAAATGTATTTGATTAACAGTTGCATTGTTCTTATTAACCTCATATCTGGTAAACGCTTTTGTTGTGTTTAAATATGTGCTTAAATTATGCTGCTGTTGTTACAGGTGGTGCTGTGGTTGGTAAAAGTACCACTCCAAGCAAAGAGGAGAGCATCTTTACTATCATATGTTGTACACCAATGTCATTATCAGAGTAAGGCTATCTGTAAAATGGAGACACAAAGAACAAAAAAATTACCTTAGCCTCATACATTATTGTATTTAGGAAGACCCACTAAGTATCTGTACAAAATTGTCATTTTCTAAAGGACATATTCTGTTTGTATTATTTTAGTATCTCAAAAAATACACTTCTCCATGTTTTTTTAAACTATACTGTAGATAACAATACAACGTTGGTGGTCTTTATTGTGTTTTGAGGGCGGGGGAGGCTATTTGCTTGAAAGCTGTTCCAAAAAAAAATAATAGGATTATTCTCATCTTTCATTTAGTTTAATAATACACTACATACATTTGTCAATCAAATTAGAATTACTGTCAGACCATAATAATGCATTTTAGTTTAGCCAATATCAGTCAGACCTGATTTATTTGCTTAATACAAATCTAATTGACTTTCAGGCTGCTCTTCTCTTTTCAGCTGTTAACCGACCAAGTACATCTTTAATTTCCAAGACCGATGGTTTGGTAGCAGTTGAGAGGAAGAATGATTTGCATAAGGCCCCAGAAGGGTGCCAAAACTCTTCACGCTTTAAACAACAGCCTTTATTATTCTGTAAGTGGATGTGTTGAATTTTCATGCTTTTGTTTCCAGTTCAGCCCTGACAGAAAGAATAAAGTAGATTTTGCCAGCACCCCTGCTGTGCCCTGAGGGAGAAATTCAATGTGCCTCATTTGTCTTAATTGGAGAACCGCCCTTAGCACCAGCTTTTTCTATGAATATATT